CCCAATATGGGCCTAATAAGGCAGTAGTACCACAAGAATAGTAATTCTCCCATAATAACACTTAACAAATATAATCTATTCTTATGGAACAAGACATGAAACTACAAGTGTTAATTGTGTCTAAATAACTCAAAATTAGCTATTTATATCTAAGAACATGTTCCCTATTCTAAAGTGAAGTCTTGTTCATAACCAATAAGCTAGTAGTTTGACTCTAATTGACCTGAATATGTTCCCTATTCTAAAGTTGCCTCCTCTTCACACTTTGTAAATACATTATAGCCAGGGCTGCACATAACTGGTGCGCATGCGCACCTCCGCCAAAAAAAGAGCACCGGGTCATTTGAAACAAAGCGCATTTGCGTACCAACATTGAGAGAGGGAGAGAGAGAAGGGAAAAGAGAAAATAGAGGAGAGATGAGAGAGAAAGATATCTGCGAGTTGCATATGAACCATGATATGAACTCAGGACCGGCCCGTAGCGCTGGCTAGATGTTCGCCTAGGGCGCCAGATCTGGGGAGGTGCTGCGCTGGCAGTTCTGGGAGGGAAAAAAAACATTTTGACCGTTGGGTCTCATCCTAATTTTCGGCCTTGATGTAACAATATTCACAATTAAGTAAATGTAACACCCTTTTCACCCCGGTTCCACGTTTCATTTGCCCTGTATGATGGGCGCTGTAAGTGATGAAAATGGGGGATGTTGGCTTATCTGGCGCCCGCAGCTCATAGACAAAATGCGAGTGAGCGAGGGAGGGTGGTACCAGCGCTGTTGTTATTATAATCTGGTGTCGTGCTAGCTGCTCTAACGAATATAAGAAGAAGATGTTTCTACAATAATGTGGAGGGAGAGTCCTCTCCAGTCAGACTGAGAGGCTGATGAGTTAACTACAGCTCAGTGAGGTAAAGGACTCTTAGTCTAAATTCAAACGGTTTGGTCACAATTTATGTAAACACATATTTTCAAGGCACTCCTTTGTAATTATTGGGATAAACAGGTTTTAAATCATTTCAATGTATACTATAGGACAGTAACCAAAAATATCCTTTAAAACTGGAGAGATAAAAAAAAAATGCATAAATAAATAAATGTTAAGGTAAAATAAGATATGAATGAACAACACAAATAAAATAAGTTACATTAATTTGTTATTGGCTATAGTAGGCTATTGGTTATGTTCACATACTTATTTGATTACATCCACTTTTCTAAGATGACAACAGAGACTTTCGACCAAAAACCAGCTGTTGACTTGTGGAATCAAGTATCTAATCGCAGACTCAACCAGAGAGAAAGTAGTAGGCCTACATCATCAGCTACCATGTCTGACATAGAGGAAGACAGTGAGGAGAACAGTCAGGAGGGTAGTGATGCTTGTAGGATTACTGGTCGTGCTAATGTTGTCTTGTGTTCACCTCTGCATGTGTGTTCTGTGTGCACCTCTGCATGTGTGTTCAGTGCCGTGTGTCTGGCAAATAAAGTCAAGACCCCCTCAAAAGTTACGGTTTATTTCATTTTAAGGATGAGCACCAAGCAATATCTCCAGGTGCTCCTTTGAGAACCAGGGCAAAAAAGTTATGTGCACCCCTGATATAGCACACAACTACTGAAATTAACCTCAACAGTACATGAACAAAGTAGGCACACGTTGAAATATCGGTTTTTATTAATGAACCACTAAAGAGAGGTTCAGACACATACATGTACCAAAACATGTCAAGTTTCTCCAAGGTTGAGAACATATATGCAGCCTGTGCTTTTTAATAAAAACTGATTTTTAACAGAGTTTATGTATTTGTGATCATACTGTGTGACCTGCTTGTATGTTCTTACACAATAGGTGTACTGTTCTCTCTCTGTGTTGTCTCAGTGTGAACATAGATTAAACAGCCAGCCAAACTCTTTTGAGAGCCATGGAATGAGTAGCCATGCTCCTTTATTGACTTATTTGCAGTCCCGTGACATTCAAACGGAGTGAAACTATAAAAAAAGAAGTTACAAGGCACTTAATGATCTCATACATGCAAGTGTAACATACACAGATGAACACATTAGGACCGCTTAGTGTAAACAAGGTAAACATAGCTAGCTAATGCTAGCTGTACAATAAGCATGTATACAGGCTAGTATGGCTAACGCTAGCATGTATGCTAACGCTACCGTGTATGCTAACGCTACCGTGTATGCTAACGCTAGCGCGAATGCTAACGCATTTTCTCATTGAGTTTAAACATCTCCACATGTCATCACATAAACACAATACATGTTACTAATCCTTACAGTGTAAGTGTAAGGCTCACACTTACACTTACAGTCATTGCTTTCTGACGGACTTGACCCTTTACTCTTCAGGTTGCATAGGGAAAATTAGTGGCAGTGTACTCATGGATGTCTACTGCCATTATATTCCGTTCACGTTCTCCTACTTCCTGTACCCGGGTCTAACCTTCAGTACACATTTTACAAAAATATAAATGTGCAAATATGAAACATACAGGTCAATATCACCTTCACCTAGCTGAACTGTCAATACCCCAAAACATATTATAAGATATAAATACCTAATTTTGAGTTATTTAGACACAATTAACACTTATAGTTTCATGTCTTGTTCCATAAGAATAGATCATATTTGTTAAGTGTTATTATGGGAGAATTACTATTCTTGTGCTACTACTGCCTTATTACCAGGGGTGCACATAACTTTTTTACCCTGGTTCTCAAAGGAGCACCTGGAGATGTTGCTTGGTGCTCATCCTTAAAATGAAATAAACCGTAACTTTTGAGGGGGTCTTGACTTTATTTGCCAGACACACGGCACTGAACACACATGCAGAGGTGCACACAGAACACACATGCAGAGGTGAACACAAGACAACATTAGCACGACCAGTAATCCTACAAGCATCACTACCCTCCTGACTGTTCTCCTCACTGTCTTCCTCTATGTCAGACATGGTAGCTGATGATGTAGGCCTACTACTTTCTCTCTGGTTGAGTCTGCGATTAGATACTTGATTCCACAAGTCAACAGCTGCTTTTGGGTCGAAAGTCTCTGTTGTCATCTTAGAAAAGTGGATGTAATCAAATAAGTATGTGAACATAACCAATAGCCTACTATAGCCAATAACAAATTAATGTAACTTATTTTATTTGTGTTGTTCATTCATATCTTATTTTACCTTAACATTTATTTATTTATGCATTTTTTTTTTATCTCTCCAGTTTTAAAGGATATTTTTGGTTACTGTCCTATAGTATACATTGGAATGATTTAAAACCTGTGTATCCCAATAATTACAAAGGAGTGCCTTGAAAATATGTGTTTACATAAATTGTGACCAAACCGTTTGAATTTAGACTAAGAGTCCTTTACCTCACTGAGCTGTAGTTAACTCATCAGCCTCTCAGTCTGACTGGAGAGGACTCTCCCTCCACATTATTGTAGAAACATCTTCTTCTTATCTCCGTTAGAGCAGCTAGCACGGCACCAGATTATAATAACAACAGCGCTGGTACCACCCTCCCTCTCTCCCTCGCTCACTCGCATTTTGTCTATGAGCTGCGGGCGCCAGATAAGCCAACATCCCCCATTTTCATCACTTACAGCGCCCATCATACAGGGCAAATGAAACGTGGAACCGGGGTGAAAAGGGTGTTACATTTACTTAATTGTGAATATTGTTACATCAAGGCCGAAAATTAGGATGAGCCCCAACGGTCAAAATGTGTTTTTCCCTCCCAGAACTGCCAGCGCAGCACCTCCCCAAATCTGGCGCCCTAGGCGAACATCTAGCCAGCGCTACGGGCCGGCCCTGAGTTCATATCATGGTTCATATGCAACTCGCAAATATCTTTCTCTCTCATCTCTCCTCTCTCCTCTATTTTCTCTTTTCCCTTCTCTCTCTCCCTCTGTCAATGTTGGTACACAAATGCGCTTTGTTTCAAATGACCCGGTGCTCTTTTTTTGGCGGAGGTGCGCATGCGCACCTGCGCACCAGTTATGTGCAGCCCTGCTTATTACGCCCATATTAAGCAGCGCATATTAAGACCAAAACTCATGTACAACAACTTCCTTACTTGCAATAAATAAGCACTAATTAGAGTGTTATTGAGGAAAAACTCTCAACTAATGGCTTATTACTTGTAGAATATGGTCATGCAGAATACGGCATTAATAAGTGTTGTATAATGACTAATAGAGAGCCATTATACTGCTAATATGCATGCTAATTAACAACTAGTTGATGGTTAATTTACCTCTAAATCCTATTGAATTTGTTGAGCCATGCTAAATATATGACATATACAGTATATATTTCAATTGAATAGATAGAATAGAGATTCATTAATGATTAATATTCAAATTTTAGCGGTATCAGGGAGAGCAAATGTGTCCTTCCAAAGTGTTGAATTATGCTTGTACAGAGGTTGTGCCCTTCTCTGCAGTGAGGTGCATGGTTGCCGACATATTTCAGCCTTGATGTGGTGTTTGGTCTCCTTCCTGTAATCAGAGTATCTGATGGATGATGACAGGGATGGCACGTCTGCTCAAGGAGAGAGTCCAGGGCAACGCCATCTTTTACTTTTCCCCCAGCTGTCACATGAAGTGTCTGAAGGGCCTGACTTGCATCTGCTGTCTTTCAATGAATGTCTTAACAGCAATAAAGACACCATGTCTTCTTTTATATCAATCCTCGAAATAATATCCCTCTTCTCCTTATCATGCTTGAGTACTCACACACACTCTCAGACACAAACAAACATACAGCCTTGCCTCGAATTAGATAAAGTACATCATGATCAGATTAGATGAGATATTAATACATTTAGGAAAGTCAAGGGGACATTACTGTGTATTAAAAACTGATGACTCGCCTTTTACAAAGTTGAAGGAAACACTACTTAAGGACTTTCTTAAGTAGCGGAAAATGATGCAATCTATTATAATTTGTTACACTGTATTGCATCTCTGTTACTTCCCTTTTTTCTCTCATCCAGTCTGAACCCGTACAGCTATGATGAGAGCTGTGTGTCCAGCAGCGTGGACCACCTGCCTCTGGCTGCCCTCCCCCTCCTCGCTATCGTCTCACCTCGCTACCAGGATGCCGTGGCAACCGTGATCGCCAGAGCCAACCAGGTCTACCGCAGTTTCTTGCAGTCAGAGGACGGCCAGGGATTCACGGGTCAGGTCTGTCTTCACCCTAGTCTCTAATCTTAGTGTCATTAAAAGGCAGGTCAAGTGTTGTGGCCGCATCTACAATAATTACTGTTTTTCTGTAGATAATTCATTTTTTCTATTCGCTGCTATAGTGAAGCTGGTGTAGCGCCTGTTTGAAATGCAAACCCTCAATTTCTTAAGCCAGGTATTCATTAAACCTTTTTCTCTCCATGTAAGGCAATTACAGTAAAATCATGGGATAACTGACAGAACATACAACCAACCACAAGGCACGTTATTAGAGTCACTGATCAATGCACTCCTCATGAGACAGACTCTCAGGAGGTTCAACCCTACAGGTTATATCTATAAAAGTAATTACACCGGCACTTGTTATTGCTATTGTCAAAAGTTGTGGTTGCAATAGGTTGGTAATATCTGTAGAGTTTGTGGTACGTGGTATATGATGTTGATATGTGATATTATAAATCGTCCCTTTCCTACTTTTTGGTTCGCTAATTACGTTTTTTGAATTCAATCCCTTTCTTCTTATTGCTTCAGCATTTTCCCCAAGATTGATTGAAAGGTTATTATGTTTGCAATAATTATCTGTGAGGATTTACCTTCTTACACTTGGGATTTTTAATTATTCATTGGCTTCGGATACAGTAGTAGTCATATGGATCCACGATGGTAACACCTCAACTAACTAAGGAACTGAGGAAAAAAACCTACTAATGATGAATTCCCTGTGAGGAGAAAGGGAAGATAAGAAAAACACTACCGGGACCGTGTGAGATATTATAGATGTCAGAAAATCACATTATGTCTGATTCAGAATTACAACTTCTATGGCTATGTGAACCGTTTCCCACATGACTGCTCGTAAATTACACTCTGAATAATATGTTGGGAATGCGGCAGGAAAACATGCTTGATTTGTGAGCTGATGATCCCCCAAAATGCAACAGGCTGCTCACAGCTGCAGAACATTAAAAATAAATTGTGCTGAATTGTGATGAACAACTCTAGAATGATAGTGTGTACAAAACAAAAGATGTATTGCAAGTTTAAACACAAACCTACTAGTACTGTAAGTAATATCACATTTGTATCCTAGTTGTATATTGTCTGGATTTGGTAAACAATGATTCAACCTGTCCCAGTTAAGAAATGTTTTTTTCAATTTCTTTTATACAATTGTCCTCCTTTGAAATCTTTCCCTGACTGTGTGCACCATACAGTATTTGGAGGCTCACCTAATTATATATATTTCGGGACAGGTATGCCTAATGGGTGACTGTGTGGGAGGTGTGCTGTGCTTCGATGCTTTGTGCTTTAGCAACCACCAGAGACCTGGAAGCCCCAACAACAGCAGCAAGAACAACAGCACTGAGAGCCTGAAGGTAGGAACTCACTGTTACAGCTATAACATGATGATAATGATGATTATAATGGTGATGCACTGGCCTGTACGAGCTTTGCAAGTCTTTTAGCTTGACTAGTCTTTTTAGTCAACCATTTATACAGGGTTGGGTAGCGGAGGTAGCAGTTCAAGTAGAGGGTTCCAAACTCCCCTTTCCCTGGCCACATTAACCAGCTCTGACTGGGGGATACCATGGTGCTCCAAGGCCAATGTGGAGATATAATCCCCCAACTTGTTCCTGGGTCTGCCCCTTGGTCTCCTCCCAGCTGGATGCCAGTGGAACACCTGCCTAGGGAGGTCGCCCAGGTGAAACACCTCAACTGGCTCCTTTCTACGCAAAGGAGCAGCATCTTTACTCCGAGTCCCTCCTGGTTGACTGAACTTCTCACCTTATCACAGAGATACCATTGAGGCCGCGTGTTCATCTTGTTCCTTCGGTCATGACCATCCTTCATAGGTGAGGGTAGGAATGAAGATGGATCAGTAGATTGAGAGATCTCCCTTCTGGCTCAGCTCTCTGCATCACAGCAGTGCCGTATAGCTACTGCAAGTAGCGATGACTCTGTAATTGGCACATACCTTCTGGTCCACCATTTTGAACCATGGAACCTCCACACAAATGTTTTCAGAGGTTGATTTTATGTATCTTAAGTTTTATGGGCACCATTTGTAGTTTTTTCTATGGTGTGCATTTAACATCTTCAGTTTAATATTTTTGCAGCTTGTCATTTGATGTCCTTTTTCACCCTGCTAAGCATCGCAGGATCTCCACTTTCTCTCTGCCATCCATCTCTTCTCCTCCCCTTTGCCATTCAAATCCTCTCATATCTAAAAGAAAAGCTCCAGTTCCCATCTGTGTTTTTGTGTAATTTCCTGATGCAACTATCGCTTTACAGTGTGTACATACTCTCCTGCTTCCTCTCAGGATAATTCGGGGCTACTGGGAGAGTCTAGCCTGGGTCTGAGTTCTAGCAAGAGGCTCAGTAAGAGCAACATCGATATCTCCGCCCCAAACGAAGGGCACAGCCAAAGCGGGCCGCCACTCAGCCGCAAGCAGAGCGACTCGTATGACGGAGACACCTCATCCACAGGCCAGCACAGCTTTTTCTCCAGGTAGGACAGTAGGCATGAAAATACCACAAGGTTTGACAGCACAATATATAGAAGAATTTGAGTTAAGTGTCTACCATCAAAGATCAACAAGGTATTCAGCCGTTTCTTTTTTTTTGATAAATTTGAGGTAAATAATTATGGTTTATTTTTTTTTTAATCAGGTAGATTTTATTTATCATTTTATTTTCATAAATTATTTTGCCTCATTGAGGTTAAATATGATTTCAATTAGTCAATAGTCACAGATATTCCAGTCATCATATTTCTCCTTTTTCTATACTAGTGGTGGTACACATTCAGTTCACAGTCATGCACATTATACATTAAGTCAGAGAAAGATTTAGTAACTCTATCAAATCTCTGTCAGTAGAAAATAAACAGGATTTCCAAATTCATTCAAAGGCAAAATAAGGTGATTTTTTTTTACACATACATTCCTAAAGGTGAATGCCTAATCCTTATCAGACTGCTTTAACAAAGCAATGGTTGTTGTAGGATGGACCGTTTTGAAAAAAGCCAAATAAATACAATTATATCAATTAATATTACAATTTTGGTCCAAAAATAGTTGTTCTCGCAAACTTCCAAACCTTGCAAAAACAAAACATCTGACGTACATAGCTGACATTTATTTCTGTCAAATAGCATTGTTGATCACAAATGTCAGGGGTTCAGATGGACTCCAGATTTCCAGTGTTTCACCCTGTCTCACTCCTGCTCTTTATCAATATTATCAGCTTGACTGCCCTGCTGGCCTACCTGTCTGTGCTGGACTATAAATAGCCGGTTTGTGCATTTGTCAGACAGTCTGCTGGAGGTGAATTCAACTCAGTTAGGGTGGATGGAGGGGTTTACTGCCACGTTTACTCAGTTCATGCAACCAGTGTTCCCATTTCAAATAACATGCTCCACTAGGCTCACACCATCACAGTAACAGAGGCACTGAAGAGAGAATCGCACCTATTCACAGTTACACCACATTGTGTTCATACTGTGCACTTCCTCTGCCCTTTCACTTCTTGTTATAGCGATTAATCACAAGCCTTCCTTTGTGGAGGGTAACCTCCTCAGGGCCGCTCCTCCCTACAGGCCAATCACGCAGGCTGCATGGGGCCCCGCCTTGCGCAGGGGGCCCCGCCCAGAGGGCTTCAGCTGCTGTGCGCAGTTCTCGGCTCAGTTCTCGGCGCACCCCCGGCTGACACGCGAGAGTGAGAGGTGACAAGGGGAGCACGTCTGTAACCCGACACCGTTGCAATGAATCGGCATCTGACCAATCACGGCTTTGATACGGCCACTAGTGCAGGTGAAGAGATGTCGGTGAAAAGACAGTTTCAGTCCGGCGCAAGGGGAAAAAAACAAAACATGAAGAAACTAGAGCATCACTCGAAGGTGGGTTATTGTATGAATCAAATGTACAACTTGCGAATGTTGTACAAGTCAAATTGCCAATTGCCATATTAAAACATCAGCTGCAATTCACAACATGAAGAAGGCAGTCTCTGCAGAGCATATAGGCTAATGGAGATGCAGTTATTTCCAGCATCCTTTATTTAACATTCATTGAAGTATGTTATGCCTTTTATCTGCTAATGTACAGGAGGAAGAGTGATAAACTGTCTGTCTAGTTGGCTTACATAACATAACAAAACATGGAGCATTTTTTCCCCTTTTATTCATTTTTATGTCAATTTGCACATTTCATGGTGATACTCAGCCTCTCCCCTTAACTCCTAACAGTCATCATCATGTCAACCACAACACAGAGAAATACTGATAGAAATGTGTGTGTAGTTGTTGATACATTGCTGACAGAGGGAACTACATTTGAATACAGATTTAAGAAATATCAGTTTTTGAGCATGTCATAAGCATGTTTTGTCTTGACTATATTACAACTATATTATAATAAAATAATATAGTATTTATATTATTTAATTGATTATTATTATGATTATTATAGAAGTAGTTTTGCATTAATTATATTTTAATCTTTTTGAGGCTAGTATTTGGCAGGAAATGCAGACGTATTCACCTGTAAACGCATACTGAACGACATACACATTTACCATTTACCTCACTGTATAAAAAAGTAACTGTTGATAATAATAATAAACAGGAATTATATTTGCAAAGTAGCCTGCTTTGTTTCCAAAAAAAAAAGTTTCACTCCTGTCGGTTGGGGGCGGGGGGATAAGCTCTTTTACCCAGCACCTCCCAGTGGATATTCCCAGTCAACTTGGGGACTTATTAAAGCTCCTCTCCTATAGGACTGGCTTCTAGGATGGATTTCTATATCTGGTTTCTCCTTTCCACATGCACACTTACTCTGCTTGGTCCCCGACTGGGAATTGGCTGTGAGATCATTCGCAAATTAATTTGACTCACCAATCTATCTTTATTAGGGTTGTGTGTTTTGGCTAATTCCACTGATATTTAAACAGATGGTAAATAAACTTACTTCCTAAGTTGAGGAATGGACATAGTTCTCCAAAAGTAGATGTCTAGTCTAAAATGCTCAAAAAAGAGGATTATGTGCAGTTAGAACTTCTAATAGGCTTTGTGATAGTCTAGTGCTCATCAGGAGTTAAATGTGCAATGTTTTAGTTTAAAAGGTAGGCATCAGTGTCAGAGCGGGGCATTTCGATACACATCATCTGTGCATTGCCCATTTTCCCTCATAAAACCACGACAACCACCTCAATAATAGAGAGCCAATGCAATATGTGTCATATTTATTTAACATATTGCTAACCATCTGCAGTGAAGTGCTTTAGTTGCTAAATGGAAATGTAGCCCATCCAGGCAGCAAATCACCCTTTACTTTCTACACCAGCAGGCAACGCTGCTGAATGAAAAGTCAACTTGTTAAGAGAGACTACTAACTGTCATGAATTAAATATGGCAACATGGGACTTGAGTCTATTAAGAACAAAACATGCAGTTGCCCATACTTTTATTGTGCATGTTCACTGTCAGTTCAAGTCAAGATCAGTATGACTCGTACTTTCTTTACATTTCTTTGAGGAAATGAATATATGAGAGGATAATTACCAGAAGTAAAACACATTTTGGCAGACCAAAAGACTAAATATGTTTTAATGGCGTGGCAATAAGGTAATAAGAAGTGAAGCAGACACATCACGGAGGAAAGAAAACAGAACAACAAAATGGAATCGGAAGGCAATCAACGAACTATTGATTTAAGCAATCATACACGAGACATGTACATACATGTGACTCCAGTACAGGCGTACGGACCTCGGCGCAAGCGCCTCGGTCCTGCCGCAGTACTGTCGTACCAATAATGACGTTCAAGAACGGCCTCAAGTGTATGATTGCGATTCTATTACAAAAACTATCATTGTAATCAACAATATCGTAAAATAATTTCATAATGTGGGCTAATTTGCTCCCAAACCTACGCTTTCTGCTTGAGTTAATCTCCGTCAGAAAGTAGTTCCTAGAAAGTAGTTCCCATGGTAACGATAGCCGATCAATCGAACACTCCTGCTACCCCGCTTACAGTTATTGATATAATTATAGTAAATAATATATTATTAACCAATTTATTGAAAACTATTTATTGAAAGCAATTCTTGAATTAGGCTATTTAAATATCTGAGTAATCACTGTGTGGGATTAGCTGTCCATGGTGCTGAAACATTTTGGGTTCAGAATGAAGGTATATGTTCATGCTGCCATTAAAAGTACAATTATTGAAACAGCTCTCCATGAACTCCATGCCAGACTTTTTTGCAGGTGGTGCTGTGGTGTTCACGGGTAGGACTACGTTATAGGAAGAGCAAGCATCTGAGCTCAACTACTGTAGCAAACAATTGGACTGGTAGGCCATGACGACATACAGATAACATTCTACACCTTGTGTCCCCAGCCTGATGAAGGATAGTGTGGAGGTGTGTGGTGGCAGCGGCAGCAGTCTGGTGTTGAATCCGGGGCGATTCGACTTTGAGGTGGCAGACTGTTTCCTGCTGGGCTGCCCTTTGGGCCTGGTGCTGGCCATGAGACGCACCGTGCTGCCTACCGTCCAGGGTGAGACTCAAAAACCCATTCTATATCAGAAAATGTAATTTTTCACATCCACATCTCTGCACACTTCTATTGTCTTATTATTAATGTGAACTTACCTGAAAAAACACTCCAATAACATGCAACCTCAGTCAGGTGACCTACTTTAGCTGGATTGTCTTTTACCGGGAAATTATTAAAAATACCCTTCACGATTTACACTACAAGAACATATCTTTACGTTTTTTTCGCTCTACTCAATTTAGTTTACAACAGACAGGGTAACTGCAAGAAGGAACACTAATAGAGACATGCAGAAAATGCAAATTAACTAACGATTATGTTGCTCTCAAAGCAATACAAAAAAAAGAAAAAGTATTTTTCACCTGGTTTGGTTTTGTGTTTGTCTTGTCCTGTTTCCAACCACCTTTGTCAAACATTTTTTATGTGACACAGCTGCAACACAAACCTCCTAATGGCTTTACCTCTCCTTTGTGTTTTCTGACCCACAGTGAGCCAGCTGCATCCAGCCTGCTCTCAGATTTTCAACCTGTTTTACCCTTCGGATCCCTCAGCCTCCAGACTGGAGCCGCTGCTGCAGCCTCTCTTCCACAAGCTGCCCCCCTTTGCTGTGCCGCGCTACCAGCGCTACCCTCTCGGAGACGGCCGCTCAATGCTCATAGGTAGGACGTGTGATTCGACATTGGAAATCTTGAGTGAGAGCAGCTTCTCTTGAATATTGCATTGGTTAATCCATCTTCTGGTATAATAGCATTACCATATTAATAACCTTGTGGATTTTCAATTTCCAGGCAGCATGAAATATTTGAGGAATTCTATTACAGCAGTTTAGAGATTCCATGATTTAGTAATGAGAATTATCAAAGGCGCACATGTGCAAACGGAGCATATATCCCATCCCATTTTTCAAACATAGTCATTGTCCATGCCGATTTCAGTTGGATTATTTGTCACAGTTGCTCCGATCAGATCGGTCTCCTCCATTTTGTAGATTATTTACGACTTTTGAATCCACATAAACACATCGGCAACATCCGGCTTACTTTGAGCATGTGATAAACAGTTTAATCCCTTTGTGAATTGTTTCCACTTCCGCGCCGTCCTTTAATTTCTTCATTAAGCGGGAATCCAAATGAATGAATCCTGAGTCCAATAACCATCAAAGTCACTCCAATAGTGCTTCTTAATTACGCTTTCATCCTCCTTTAATAAAATACTTCACATTCATCCAGTTTGTGACAGTAGTTGTAGCATTTTTGAGACTTTTAAACTTTAATTACCGCTGTTGCCTTGTCTTGTCTTGGGGGGTGCAACTTCCAACAGGAGTCATTTGGGGGGCTCTCGGGGAAAATGGTTGGGAACCCCTGTTTTAGATGATCCAGCACAGTATATGCCATACTAATCTGTAATCTGACTGGAGGGCCTGGTTGCAGAGATGGGGTCTTAATGAGCCAGTGATTTATTGAAGCATGTTTTAACCCACTTTTGGGACTGAGAGACCAGCTCTAAACATCAGTAGAGACGCATCGTCTGGTTCCCCTGCGCCTCAGTCAACCTTCCTCACTGAGAGAAAAATAGGGCAAGAACTGATCGCTTTAACTAACAGTTTGCTTATTTAAAACAATAAGACTTTGTGGCTATAGAAATATGTATAACTATATGAAAACCTATGTTTTGAGCCCAAACACAGCTACATTTACAGACAGAAGAAGCCAGCAATGTAATTGTTCCATTTAAAATCAGTCACACCCAAAATCATTGTACTAATCTTCACAAATTAAATGTATTTGCTGAGTAATCTGTGTTTCTGACACATAATATTAAATTACCCATATAAAGTAGATTATCTGTTCATTTGATATAACTCTCAGACAGTCACCAAGTAGGATACTTGACGCCTTTAAGAGCCAATACTGTAGTAAAGGTGATGGAGTGTAAAGGCAGACACACAGCGCCGGCTTGCAGCTACACCAGGTTTTAATTATGGGTCTGGAGCCCCGTTCCATTGATCGGGCGTGGATGCTGTCAAGTTCTGTGTTTAATTAAAAACTAAAGACAGATGCACACGGACACTGCAGACATACACTGCAAGGAGCTGGCTCACACAGAGGAAAAATGGGCAAACATCACCCATTTCCTGCACTGTAATATAGTAATTAGTTGTTATGAAGGTCTGGAAAGCCAATGAAAACAGGCCCCTGTGGGTACGAGGCTGACAACACATGTCAACGGTGGAGCTTTTATTATGATGAATGCTGCTAATAGGGAGAACACGAGCCCTCTTCCTATTGATTTCCAGCTCTGGTCCAATGGGAAATATGATGGTAAAAGACAGAAAATGTACATGAAGTTATTGTCCTTTTTATCAGTATTAATCGTGTGGCTAACAGTGCTTTCATGTTAAGATGGAGGTGTATGATTTGCTCGGCATTTCCTAACCGAGTCAAAAGTGTTGTTCTGTCTCTTTTAGTCACAAAGACGTTTCAAGGCCACAGTGCAATCATCCTCTTTTACATTGTGCTTTCTCCAATTGTCCCTCTTTTTACCACCGTCATCAGCTGCTTCCCTTTCCCCTTTAATTACAATCTTTAGGTTTCCATCATGGACATTTCATAGACCTTTTGTGTCTGTACAACCGTTTTTTATTGTATTTAAAATATTCTCTGATTCACAAACACAACTCCAAGCTCCTGCTTTCCCTGATTAATGGCTTTTGTGTCTATCTCTGTCACCATTGTCCTGCTAGCAATTTATTGATGCCCCTTATTCTCTCTCACCAGCATAACTTTTGAAATTGCATGTTTGTTCAGTCATTGGACCTATCTGTCCTTTCTCTCTCCCTCTTCCTTCCTCTATCTCTCTGTCAGAACCTTTTCTCCCTCGCTGCTCATTGTGCTGGGAAAAGCATCCAGAAACTGAAAAAGCATTATGTCCCTCTAAGAGATATAAAGCAAGGCTTATTATTAATAACAGATGTATGTATGTGCGTGCGTGCGTGCATGTGTGTGTGTGAACAAAGACACACACACATTTGAGAGCCTTTTGATTCATCTTTTTTGTAATCTGAGTTAACCAAACCTTTTTATTACTGAGAGTATAGTCTGGGATTCACATTGTACTGTTTGTGTGCTTTTAGTGGCAATAAGTGTTTTTAGTTTTTTTTTACTTCTATTTCCAGGATGAAACCACTAATATAGAAAACTGTAAATTATGATAATGTTATTGTTTTTCGTTTTTTCTTAGTTTTCTTTTCTCATATTATTGATTATTCATCATTAGGGCTGGCCTGAGAAATATAATCATATATCAATATTTGAATGTGAGACTAAATATCTTCTTAGGTATTTAATATCATATGATCCCATAAGTGTATTTTCCTGGTTTTAAAGTCTATCTTACAGTAAAGTGATGACTTTTTACGTTCTGATATTTCTTTATTAGATCTACATAAAAAGTCAATATTACGTAGTGTTAATGATAGTGTATGATGAAGGATTGTGTGAGCATGCTTTGTGTTCGCTTTCTAAGAAACCTCAAAACTGTCTTTGCAATAATAATGATTGTGAGGAAGCGCACACACTCCCTCACTAACATGTTGGTCTTAACTATTTGTTTGTTAAGAAAGGTAGTACATGTTTTTTTTTTAGTTGTCTTTATTTCAGTTAAAGTTATAAAAACAGTTTACATAGTCAAACTAATAAAATGCGTCTAAATTCGTTTGTCAGTCTGTAAAACACACAAGCACCAAGTAATCACCATTTCCTTTGTTCAGACCTGGGGCCATCTTGTCCCAGTGCTCAAAGGGGGAGCACGCCTCCAAAGTACTCCTTATATGTGCCGTATGAGTAGGCGGAGTCTTGGACGCGATTGGTCAGGAAATGTGTGATTTTACGAGTGTCAATTAGGTTAAAAACTATCTGTTTTAAGCAAACCTTGTTGTTCTTGAAGGTATAATATTTATGGCGATGCAATAATGAATTTACTTAAGCCTTTAGGGTTTTATTAAAGGTAGACAACAGTGTTTAATTTTGTATTTAACCCTTCACTCCACTTTCAGAACCATGACCTGATTGGCCAGGTTGGAGTGGGAAGACGGGCAGTCTCTTATAAATGTGGTTGGGAAGAGAGGAGAAGGGGCATGTGTTTGTTCCTTGCTGGTGAATGCAGCACCAGGCATGCAGTTTGTGTTTCTGTGGAATAATGTGGAAGGCTAAGAATAAAACGCCTGTTTATTTTTTGCAAGAAAACCCTCTCTCCACGTATCATTCTTTCACCTGCACCTCACATCGTAACAATGATATAATCAATGATCTTGATTTGTATTGCTCCTTTCAAATATAGTTACAAAAATGCTTTACAGAAAAACAGAATGCATTTAACCCTCTATGGCATGACTTTTTATTTTGGGAGGAAAAAAATGTTTCACCATGTGTTTTAGGAGCTTAGGGGTCCCTGATATTATATCAATTATAAAATGTGACCCCCCTCAGCCCTCAACCAGGGGTTGGTTTGTTGCCTCAGGGCAACACTGTGCTACGAGGGTATTGAAACACCAAGGATTTCTACAATTCAGAAGCAATAGAAAAAACAACTCTATATGAATTCAAAAGGTTTTTTGTGTTTGTTTGTGTGTGTGTGTGTGTGTGTGTGTGTGTGTGTGTGTGTGTGTGTGTGTGTGTGTGTGTGTGTGTGTGTGTGTGTGTGTGTGTGTGTGTGTGTGTGTGTGTGTGTGACGCTGCATCTCTCTCGCTCACAGACATGCTGCAGCGCTGTGCAGTGTGCACACAGTTCTGCCGGTAATGAATATTGTGTGTCATGGCGGCCACGCATGAGTGGTGAGAGGAACTCGCTCACCTTTTTTAACATCTAAGCTCACATACACCCGTTGTAACTGCCATCGTTATTGCAGTGGGGATATAAGATGCACTGGACGCTTTTGGTACACAATGTGTCTCGTTACCACGCTGAGATTGGCCTTTAAACAAGCCCTGAACAGCGGGCGGGTCTACAAACAACGCCTGAACGTCTGCGACCCAAGCCCAACACAGGCCGGAGATGTTCGTGTAGACTTCGAGCAATATGTGCGATTATTGTCAGATTGTGAGTGGACTACTTTCCAGAGAGATGAAAGAGCGTACAGGGGGACACTGGACACTGGACACAAAACTGCTCCAGGTAAGATCTAACTTTGCTGTTACTCCCGGAGGCGCAGAGAAGTGGGGCAGGCTGGTGACAATCCTGACCAGCGCTTTTTTCATTAATGGAATATTCTCTGCGACGCAACGAAACTCGCGTCCCTACGGATTCCAGCTTCTGAAATATGTCGCCAGAATCCTGAAGAAATTCCCTCTTTCTGACAACTTCCCGGTGGACCTTACAGCTGACTCGCTGACACCTTGGATAGAAATGCAGCTTCGCTTCATCCGTGAGAGAATACAACCAGCGCTGCGGGTCGCCGGGACAGAGACACAATGGCAGCAAAGGAAAGTTTCCAGGAACAAGCTGGCATATCTCTGGCAACACCGCAAATCAAAGGCAATCGATATCATTTTAAATAACAGCTGTTTTCCGGAAACCACGCCCACTGTTAGTGATACAGCCAATGTGTATGACTACTATAAAGCCAAATGTCAAACTGTGCCGAGGGCTACTCCCCTGGCCA